TCACCACGACGCAGCATCCCACAAGATGAACAAGGATTTAGATTTGCTTCAGAGGTCACTTTCGCCGCTTCCTCACCGTCGAGCAGCCGGATCAGCTGACGGCAAGCCGCGGATGAAAGGCTTGAGCATCAACAGCCTAGAGCCACTACAACAGCCCAAGTGCACTCACGATGCGGGCGACGCGGGCTTCTGTCAATCCAGGGGCAGACCCAAGGGGGAGGCGGAAGGCGACGGGGGCGGCCGCCTACCCTCCAAACAGTCGACCCCCCCCCCCCCCACCCCTGCCCCATTCTTGGAGGGCGATTTGACATGGGTGGATTCCCCGAAATAAAACCAACTCCCGTCCTGCCAGGTGGTAGGAAGCTCGGTACTCAAGGACGAGGGTTCGAAATAGGGTAGGCCGCACCCTAGCAGGCGCATACACTTGGAGAACCACTCCGTCGCTTAGACTGAAGTCCGCGGCGGCGGTTTCAAAGCACGGCAGAAGTTAGAACCAAAAGTCGGCGCAGCGGCGCACATCTAGGGGCCGTCGGCGCAGTGTGGTTCTGCGACGGTTAAAACAAAAGGCGCAACCGGAGTCCTGTTTATCTTGCTTTAGAGTTTAGATTTTCCCTCCCCCCCAAAAAAAAACCGAAAAAAAAAAAACCGGAGTTCTGGATCCGCCCCTGGGTCAACCGGTAGCCCAGCAGAAACCGCGTGAACGTTCCAGCTCTTCGTCATGACACGCTGTTGCAGAAAGCAGGGTAAAATACAACTACACGTACCACCGAATCAAATGCACTGTTATCGTAAATATTGGCTTGTGATTGCGCCTTTGTAGATTATCTTATTCGTTTTGCTGGAGAGACGCAAGCGACGGGCATAACAAAATCGTTTGCGTATTCCGCATACCTCGCAAAAGCACTCACCCAGTAACCTTGCGAAAAGCGCGAAACACGGAGTCCGCACCGCCCTGACTTACCAGTCTTTTACCTGCTTTAGAGCAGTTTGTACCTGCTAGTAGGTATGTCTAGTGAAACTGCAACTTGAAACTAGGGGCAATGCCAGAGAGAAAAGTGACAAAGTTGAGAAAGCATGCTCGCTCTCAACAATTTCTGAACTCTCAAGTGATTGTACCATAATAAATTCACCAACACCTTTTTCAAAAAAAAAAACAACAAAAAACGCTATGTTCAATACGTAAAGAATGGTCTCAGTTCATGCATCCGTAGGCAGGTAGGAAACGTTGCCCTAATTTATTCACACCGCATGACGAGCGCAACAAATTCACACGAGATTTACAAGAAAATATCAGTGGTGACTTATGTTTCTCTGAAATTCTGTATGACCGGTCGTTTGCAGGACCGAATCATCTACTCGGGCGGTGTGCGTCGCTGTGCAAACGCCAACACGAAGCATAACAACGGCAGGTCTAGGTCAAGAATCCGTAGTCCATTGTTCAATTAAAACGACATAATTTTGTTGAAAACGCCCGCAGCTTTTTACTCACGGTATGCGTCGAGAATCTTCCACATTTTGAAACGGAACGAAGGAAGATTTACTTTTAAAAGCGCTCGCTGCGTCCTCCCGGACCAGTTGGACCGGATCAGCTGACGACGACGACGGAACTGAACCCGTTGAATTTTAACGCCACAATAACCAATTTGAGCTTCGTGTTAGTATGGGATTCTACCTCCAAGCACCGCACGACACACCACGAACGTTTCAACTCTTTGTCGCATCGCCGTGTTGCACCAAACCTATCTCTATGCACCAAACAGAACAAGATCGCCGAAGTCAACGGAGCGCTGTCGTGAACCTTGGCTTGTGGTTGCGCATTCGTGGACCCTGTGACTCCCTTCGCTTTCAAAGCACGCACGACGATTACGAATGATACTTTCCGTCTTCCGGGACCATCACAGGGGCACTTCTCCGGTCACGTCTTCGCTACATGTGCTGGCAAACCGCGTCAAACGTGGTCAAACCGAAGCGCCGAAGCAGTACCGGCGCCATGTTGAAACTTGAACGTGCGTTGTTGCTAGATTTTCTCCGACCAAACACAAAAAACGAAAGCAAACCGGCTCTAGCTTCCAGCGTACATCGGCGTTGCGCCGTGGCCAGATTTTCTCCGTCAGCTCTAACTTAAAGACGACCTACAGATGCAGCAACACTGGTCTCAAGTTTTAACATGGCGGCCCCCACGGAGCGCCGTAAATTCTGAGGAGGGTGCATTGGAAGCGGCGGCACCTTCCCCCCCCTGGAGCCAACCGGCCCAGGGGCCTTTGCCCGGCCAAGGATACTGCAATTGTGAGTGTTGCCGCTTGGTGTTGTCAACGCGGGACAATCTCGCCTAGTAGTAATATCCGAGGATTGTACAACCGATTGTTTATACACAACCTGCCTGTAACACCACTCGCGGTCATGCCGGTATTTTATGTGTCACGAACGTTCTGTTCACAGTGTTAGTTTTACCCCAGAAGTAGTAACCCGAGGCAAGCAGTAAGTAGAAAGAACCGCCAGCACCCAGCAATAGCGACACCTGCAAAGCTATCTATCTAAGATATTATTCAGTGGGTGCCATACTTGAGCTCGTTATTCACAGAGGATCCGGGGGGGGGGGGGGGGGGGGGGGGGTGCGATTTGTGCGGTTAGTTTGGCAGAGGTCCCCGCCTCCTCAGATCAAAGTTACCTATCGTTTTCAAAGAACTTCGATTTTGACAGTGTGTAATGAGCATTGCGGAATCATTGCGGATGATTTAACATATACGACGGAGTAAACTCGATAGCGTCCTTCGCCAAGTCGCCTTCAGGAGTACGCAACTCCATCAGCGAGCCACACGGCCGCGGACTGACGCTGCCTCTTATGGGCCCGTGATATGGGCGGCATTCTAAGGGAGCTTCACAATCCGCCAGCAGGAGCTAGCATGTCTTGAAATTTGCTAATTCGTTTTAAAATTAGTTTCCTTGACTTTTCTGCCGGCTTCCCAGCAACACTAGTCTAGACTAGTGTTTCTGGGCGGACTGCACAACATAGACCACATGTAAGCAAGCGAACAAGTGCAAACATTTCGTTTCCGTACCCCTTCAGTTGTTATGTTTAATTACCGTATCTACCTATTTTCATGTTTGGCGATATTTTTTGACTAAAATATATTTATTTTCACAATAATTGATCTTAATTCAGATTTATATTACCTATGTGACATGTTTTACAGCTTTGCGATTCGAACAGCGTCAAACTCCGGCTGTAACAACGAAGCTTTGAGCTTTCACCAGGGCAGAGAACTGTTCCATCATTTCCAAAGAACACGCAATGCAGTACGCCAGGCGTTCGTGAAAGCTTCAACTGAAACGATGTTCAACAGGGCGGATGACATCTTTACTTAGAAACGAGTCAAAATGTCCGACGAGACTTCCGAGAGCCAGATTTTGCTCAAGGTCAGAAAATTGTGTCTGGCGGGCGGAACAAATATATGCTTTCATAACACTGTTGTGTTTTGTGTCTTATCCTAGAACTGAAGGTTGAAAGCAGTGATGGGCAGTATTTCAAATACTTTGTGTGTTTTGCATTTGTATTTAATTACAAATTGGGTAATGTATTTGACGTGTGTATTTAAATACTAAAACGTGGGTATTTCAGATACAATTGTAATTAAATACAATTTTGTGGGCGAAAATACATCCCACAAATTTATTGTTACTGTCGAGAGCAGGAAGCAAGCTACGTTCTGCACCGAATGCAGTGTCTCTCAATCAAGCACAAGCGTTTAGTGACTGATTACGGTGCTAGCCCAGGGAAAGAGTAGTGACGAAATCGACGTTCACCGGCAGACTGGCTAAATAAGTGCCTGTGAAAATTGTGATGCTTTCCAGCCTGATTTCCATTCATATCTTTCCCTGGAACATTCTGAATGCGCGGGTCGTCCAGATTTTCGTAACTGGTGCAAGTTGCAACAATAAAATATTGTCTAGCTAGTGCTTCGCGTCTTGGTCGTCTCGGTTCTTTGTTGGTCTCTACCAAAATGTAATCGACAAAAAAAAAAAAAAAAACTGCTTGAAGCTTTGTACTTCTTTCACCTATTACGTCCAAGCTGATTACATTTTTTTGGGGGATTATATTTCTATTACGTTACTAGAGCCTCGCACACTAACTCCCGAGTGTGCGATGCAAAATTAAAATGAGACACCGAGAAACCCGTTGCAGTTGCCTTGAAGTCGCTGAAGCAAATTTTGAAGAATGTATTTGGAAAAGTATTTGGAGGAGACCAAATACATTTGGTTGTATTTGTATCTTGTACTTAAATGCTTTTTAGGGAATGTATTTTGATTTGTAATTAAATACATTTTTGACGAAGTATTTTGTATTTGTATTTCGATACATATTTTCATGTATTTTGCCCATCCCTGGTTGAAAGTGACACCGTGAAAGTAACGGATTACTTTTTGGTGTAACGGTCACTTACTTTTATGCAAGGGTAATACACCCTTTCAAAAAGTCCGGGCCACCGCCTGTCCACCACTGCTTGCTCACACACTCTGAGCATGTATTAGACACGAGTGCCGCTTTAGCGTCCGGCGAGGACTCGGATCCAATCACACGCTTCGTGTCCAAGCACTGGCGATTGCCAATGCTGCTTGATGGACTTTCGAAAAGGGTCTATTGTATCTGTAATTAGGTACAATCTAGCCTTAGGTAGTTGTAAATGTAATTAGTTACTTTTTTTTTATAACGTGTTCAAGCCAGGTGTGAACTTACACAGCTTATGATTACATCTAGGCGGTAGTTCACGCTACGCTGTATCACACCGACTTCAAAAAGATAATATGGTGCGGTACAGAATGTGCAGAATTTTTGAAGCTACATTTGGATTTCAATCCCATTAGCAGAGTTAAAGTTGATAAAAAAACGCAATGAATTTCTAAGAACATCTTTAATGACTACCTGTTCTGTTTTTTTATTGTATTACAAAAAAAAAACTTTTCGTTGATGTTTTTGGCACCGGCTTGGATACCTGAGCGCTTCATAATTCGTGTGCGCACACTCCATCATAGCATCTCTGCAAAAAAAAAAAAAATCAAGAATTGAATTAATGTTAACTTGAAATCAACTAAACTCTTGAGATGTCTATTTAACAAGACGGGCTTTAATACTAAGAAAGGCAAAGACAATGATTAGCGTCTTACTGTTTTCCCTTGTACATAATTTAAACCATCTCATCGGGGGGTTGATTTCTTATTTCATGTCAATTTTTCGCTAAGTTATTTAATGCAGGAGAAGCCACACCTTTAGTTTAATGTTGATGCTTTTATTTAGTACTTTACGCCAATCGCATCGTCCAAAACGTTTTCTTTGCTAAAACCTCCGCTGAACTTCCTAACTTTAATTTATTTCCACAAATACCACCGGTCATGTCTTCCTTTTACCTACCGTGGTTCTTCCGTAAAGTCTCAGTTCCTTCTCGGCAATTATCGTCTGTTATGGTTTAGAACCATTTTCAGCATAGGTTGTTTATAAAAGAAGCTCTAAGGCGCTAATTCAAGCAGTCATCCATTCTTTAATTGCTCTCGCAATACGCGCGGCACCTTTTAATGTTCAATACATTTTAATGGGAGCAAAATTAAGATTTTCATCACGTCGCCGTAGCCATACCATATGCCGTCGCCTCCTAAATTTTGTGGGCTAGCATCTCATTAAATTAGGGTTGGACACTATCATGTGTCTATCGCAATAGAATTTGTCAAACACATTTTGCATTTGTATGTCTGCATCACGATACAATATTTGCACCCGTGTTTTGCATCTCTATATTAAAATACATTATGGGATGTATTTCTGGTATCGCGATAGTGCCACGCGTGTTGCCGAGCGAGCGCGTGCGTGGCCGAGTGGTTAGCGTGCTTGGCTGTGTCGCGAAGGATTCGGGTTCAATTCCAGGGAACGGAATCTTCGTGGTATAATAAAACCCGAGACTCAGGAACACAGAAGGGGACGACTCTGTGTTCCTGAGGCTCGAGTTTTATTATACCATGAATCATCACCAGCTCGCTTGTTTCTTAAGTGTTATAACGGAATCTTCATTTATTTATTCTTTCTACTTGTCGTTCTCGTAAGTACGAGAACCCTCTCGTCCGATCCTGCTACGAATGTTCTACGAGCCGAGCGTTCTAGGCCGAATGTTCCAGAGAAACACGCGGGGTACAAAAGGTGCTCCCCGTGGCGAGCTGGAGTCAGTCTCGCCCCAGCGTTCGACTCTGCTGTTATGACGATCTCGACGCCCGTGACGCTCTGCTGTTATCTTCTGTTTCCCTTTTTATTTTGGGGGCAAGTTCGCCCCATTAAACGTTTCAGTTTCCCCAGTTATTCTTTGTTTCACCTCGTCCTTCGTGACAATATTATGAAGTTCCAACCGTGGTCCTTGAAACAGACGCTCAATGCTAACTTCGGGACACAAACTATTGCCTCCAAGCAGAACACTTTAGGCACTTTCACCCCTCGATTCGTTTCGCTCCGCTCCGCTAGAGAAAGATGGAGGATTAGAGAGATTTAGTATATCGTGTTTTCAGGCCACGCTATTTGTAGCGGGAGCTCGCGCTGCCACTTCAATAGAGAGTTTTCGTAGATCGTTTTTGTCGTCGCGCAACGCTTTCCGCAACCCACTACGCTACCCGGAACTCTACAACCAAGGCCATCGGCGCGCAGGTGCAGTAGCACCTTCTTCGTTGCGGAGGGCTTAGCGGACAGGGGAACGCGGTCTACGAAAACTCCTAGATGTATGCTCTGAAGCAAGCACGGGTAGCGGTAGCGAGCCTTTTGAAACGATCTACTGAAGTTCCCCAATAGAGAGTTTTGGTAGACCATGATTCTAGAGCTACGATTCGCCAGCTGGAGCTCGTGACTTCCCTTTGACGAATGGATTGAGCACGCGCACGCTCGGCCCGCTCTCCGCAGCGTATCGACTGCTGAAGCGCTTTAGGGAGTTCTAGTAGATCGTTTTCAAAGGTCCGCTATCGCTACGGGCGCGCGTTTCAAAGCATGCATCAAAGGGGCAGCGCGAGCTCCCGCTAAAAATAGCGTGGCCTGAAAACACGATCCACTAAAACTCCAGGGGGTTTTAGTACATCGTGCGTGGCGTAAGTCGGGCCCAGTGAGCGCGTGCTCAATCTATATTCTTCGAAATGGCGGCACGGGCTCCGGCAAGCAAAGCGTGTATCTCTAGAATACGGTCTACTGAAATCCCGTCTATCGTACCCTGCGGAAAGCGGGCTCAGCGGGCGCGCTCTCACTCTATGCTTCGAAGTGACGGCTTGAGCTCCCGCTATACTTCGTCTCACCTTAGCATGGACTAACAACGAAGGCTGTAAAAACCCGAGCAGGTAGCCTTGAGTGCCTTGACTGGAGCACCCACTGCACGAGCGCTCATGCAGCCCCTGGGGCTTCACTCAAAGTAAATTGCTTGCCCTTCGAGCATGCGCGGCTAACAATAGTCCATGCTCAGGTTACATGAATTATAGCAGAGCGTAACTCTAGAATGCTGTCTACTAAAAGTACTTAATCTAAGGTTCGAGCTTCTGCCAAGCCTCGTCGAAACCGTCGCGGGATTTCCAGTCGACCTCTTCCATCTCTTAGCGTCGACCGCGGCACCGACGAGTCCGGATTTGACTAGCGCTGGCGGGTTGATTTTAGCAGTCGGTATTCGGAATATGGTGCCAGCTGTTGCTGGCTTCAGACTGTACGTTCATGTGTGAATTCACTGAACTGACATTTCGTTGACATCGTGACGCGCTTACCATAGCGGAGGGACTTGATGATGCGATGGACACGGCGGGGTGGCGAGATCAGGCACGTGCGTGCAGGCTCTTTGGCCGTGCTTTTGAATGGGCGCAACGTGAAGGAAAATAGTTAAGGTCTAGGACTTAACGCAGATGGCTGATTTTCTCCAGCCTCTAATATCTTGACCAGTTACACAAATAAAAACAAAAAAAAAAAAACTTTTAATTTGAAATTTAGAAAAAAAAAGTTTTTTTTACTACGACGTGGGGTTGAATTACTGATGTACCAACTTTTCAGTCTTTCTGCCGTTTACCTTGGTTTTTCTTCCATAGTAAGTTTCGACAATACTTGGGAATTGACACTTGCTATGACTCTGTGAGTTATTTTGGTAGCAGGGCGAAGGGCATGGGATAGCAAGAGGGCTGTCGGACGGTGCATTTCTTACGTCCCTCCACTTAGACCTTCCGATTGGCACACTGCAGACGACCATTTGACTCTTTATCGTGTTTTTACAAAAATACATATAGTAGTTCAAGTTTAAACGTTTTATGCATACTGCATAACCTCGGACAGATACGGATATAAGCAATTTATGTTTCTATAGTATCTGAGAGACCAACTATAGCTATACAAACTTGACAGACCCAGGAGGCAAGTAATTGCTATTTTAAGTATATGGTTCAAAAACGTTTACACAGAATCTGTTTGAGGGCTTGGATTGCCGAAGGAAGTGTTAATAAACACCATTAAAACTGGCACAAAATCTGTGGCACAAATTTGAAGAGAAATTCATTTTCTCCAGAAATTAAAATAACTAATTATTTCTTTTGAATTAGGGTCTTCTGAAATTAAAACAAGAAATCAAAGAAATATGCACAGGAAAGAACGCAATCCCGAACATCGCCGGACCTGAATTGAACTCAACACACCAAGATTTTGAACCACACGATCAGCCATTGTGCCGAAGAGAGACTTTTGAGGGCGAATCGGCCACGTCGCCACAATGTAGACGTGACTCATAAGATGTGCTACGTGAAGGCACCTCACGGGCGCGCGCGCTGGGAAGAAAGAACAGGGGAGCTCAGTTCCTGCTTCCTCGGCGTCTGGCTTGACGCCCAGCGATTTTGATACGTGCTCATTTGCTATTCCAAAAGCAGTTTTTGTATTTATTGCAAAGGGCAGATTGCATAAGTCAATTTACATGAAAAATGCACTGCAGATTCTTGCAGAGCAGCACGCCAAGTGTAGGAAGAGTGTGAGGAACCGCGTGACAATATCACATGACAGTCTCGCGTGATTTGATGTTACGTAAATGATTAAAAAAAGCCGCGGGGAGAGTGGGGAAGCTGGCAAATTCAACACGTTCTGTGGATACTGACTTCATCCGTAGGATCAAGGTGAATCGAGCCTATAGTTTTAGTAGGCAGTTAAGCATTTTCAGGCAACGAGAAATGCGCAATTGCACGAGGCGCACGCTTCTTGCAGTGCTTGATTAATATGATGGTGCATGTTTCAGCTAAAGACGCCGTGTTTATTTTTGTTTGAGTTAGTATTATTCGTTGTGTGGCATACCTTATGGATTTTAGGGCGAACTTCGCTTCAGGACGGCCAAATTGCTTTAATCTCATGGAACCGTAAAGTTACAGAACCGCGATTAAGATTACAAATTGAGTGGTTGGGCACACAATAAAATAAACAAAGTTTGCTATTGAACTTACCCCGCCACTACCGTTGCATGGTTCTCTGCCTGCTAGCTTTACTGTAGAAGGCCCTCCAAAGATACCCCAGAATGCACCGTTCGCGCAGGTAACTCGGCATTGAGGTAATTGTACTTCAGCCTAAAAAGAAAGGTCTACAGCTTACAAAATACACAAGATATGAAATCTATTGTTGAGTGTTTAATTAATTATTATTTTTATACTCACAATGACCTGGGTGTTATAATCCTTTTTACAAATCTTCTTCAATTTTTCAAAAAATGATACTTTATTCCCTACGTAGTCTGGAAGGTCTTTCGCTTTCACAGCGCCGTTTACCACGTCAGCTGAAACAACAATGTTAGTGCTGTCATGTGCATTTAATAAGGATTAAATGCAGATGATGTTCCCCCTCACTGCTTCTAATCGGCGGTAGCCGATCAGAAGCAGTGAGTGAGAACATTATAGGCTGGATCGAGTGATATACCAAGCACATTTTTAGTCTGCATGGGTATCTGGCGACGCCGGAAATTATAGGATGATTGAAATGCCGAGGCTCGATTTAAAATTTGTCGTAAAAATCGGCGCCTGCGCGTAGCAATCTAGATCTTTCATCAAAGGTCTATTTCACCGGGGGTTTTACGAAGCAGATTCAAAAAGTAACCGACATTTAGCTGTAAGAAAATCAAATGTAATGATAGACAGCTGCGCTGCAAATATGTTTTTGTCCACCACAAGAGGGAGGAGCTGTGCACGCCGGCCTAACGACTTGATGGGAAATTTCACGTGACCACAGCACTTTCAAAATGGCCGCCCCCTTGTTAGCATGCACCAGGGAGGCGCAGCGTTTGTTCATGTGAGTTTTGGGCGTAAAGGGTGAAAAACCTGCGGATATTTATCGGATGATGCTAAAGCAGTACGGAGACGCCTGTGTATCGCTTCGGCAGGTGTACGAGTGGCGCAAACAGCTTCAAAATGGAGCGTCCGGTTTGACTGACGCACCTCGCTCCGGCCGGGCTCACAGTTCAATGATGCCGGACGCAATCTCTGCTGTGGAACGGCTCGTACACGGGAACCAGAGTTTCACCATCGATGCAGTGGCTGCAGAATTGAATATTAGTCACGGCTTGACACACCATATTATTCATTATACTCTGCAGTACCACAAAGTATCCGCCAGGTGGGTACCAAAATAACTTACGCCGGACCACAAGAAGCGCCGTGTGGATGCTTCTGAGACGCTTCGAAGAAGAGAGAGATTAGTTTCTTCGACGGAATGTCACCAGTGATGAAAGCTCGGTACACTATACGCCCAGCTAGAGACAAAGCGAGCTAGGAAGGAGTGGCGACAAAGAACGTCACCAAGGCCGAAGAAGTTCAATACAGCGCGTGCGGAGGGCAAGCTAATGCTCACGGTCTTTTGGGACCATAAAGACCCGATAGTGGAATATTACATGCTCAAGGGACTCACTGTGAACAGCACATCATACTGCAGCCTGCTTGAGAACCACTTGAAGCTGCAATCTGGTCAAAGAGTCACGGATTGCTCAGCTCAGTGGTGTTGCTGCCTCACGACAATGTGAGCCGTCACACGGCACGCACGACAACGAAAAAAATTCCAAGGACTGCTGTTCGAGTGTATTCAGCACCGATTATACTCGCCAGACCTCGCGCCGAGTGATTTTTACCTATTCGGGCCCCTCATAGAGGCTCTCGGGGAAAAAAGGTTTAATACAAATGACGACTTGAAAGCGACGTTGCATTCCTGGCTTCGGGGTCAGCCACATTATTTTTTTTTCTCCGCGGCATCTATGCATTGGTAAAGCGTTTGCGCACATGTGTCGAGCGAGGAGGCGATTATGTTGAAAAGTAATATTGGGCTTTTCATGATATCTATAGTACCACGCAAATCAAAATAAATGGCGGTTACTTTTTGACTTGGCTCGTACCTCCTTTCTGTAAGGAATAGGGCCAAAAACCTTGACAGCGCCAACGGCGGACGGCGACGCAGACGACCGAGTCGAGTGGCGGGGTGCACTTGGCGCACGCATTGATTGATGCGTCGAGAGCAGCATGTAAGGAGTAGCCGACCAGCTGAACAAAGCAGACGACACGCAGACAAAATCCGTCAGTAACAAGTGCGCCGTCGCTATGCAACCGTGTTTTCTTTTATTTTTGCTACTTCAAGTTTTGATATCATTGCCCGCGTTTATTTTGAAACCAAAGGTACATTACAAAAATATTATGTTCATTTTAATAGACCACGGTCGTCGGGGGCAGTGTGCATTTTTTTTAAGCAGGTCGAAACCAGAGCCATGTATGTAGAGTTTGGTCTTTGATTGGTAAGAATTTTTCGAAACAAACAACAAACATTGAAACAATTTCGGCCAACTCGCCGTTGGCCGAAATTGTTTCAATGACCTTGGGCGCGATGATTGACAGCTCTTGTGACCAGCTTCTCGTCACAAATATTCCCCTAGCAGAAAAATAAGCTCAACAAATACCCTTCAATCACAATTTCCAGCTACGGATGTATTCAGGTATTTTATTTCAGCACGCTAGAGTTGAAATTCGCGACTCTTGTAACTGAGAGGGCAACGCACGTCACGTTGTCGTCGCGGCGACATTTAGAACGCACCCGATCTTTCTCTTGATTGCTGTAAGAAAAGGTTACTTACATATTTACAAGTTGAGTGGCACGCAGGCCACGCCCAGAGGCCCTACATTATACACCTTTCCAAAAAACACTCGACCCCAGGGGCAACAAACCGTTTTTGAGCCCAGTCACTGAGTTTGAGGCTAGACTGTCACCGGCGTCGCTCCTAAACCTAACCGAGTGGACTGTGATTTCAATAGGCGCAGCCTGCGTAGGCGCAGTTTCAAACGCTGCTGGTGGCTAAATTCCCGTTTTTCCCGCTATAATTTGTGGTTCATGGTGCATGTATGTTCCCGAGGACATTAAGAAAACATTGTACCACATTTGAAAAAAAAAAAAAAAAGCAAAATAAAACTTTAAACTATTTTTGCTGGGTACGCGCGCGACAGAACGAATGCGACTGGAATGTATAGTTCTGGTTATTTGTTTTTTTCTTACGATAAGTTTTGACGGCGCCGCGGGATTCGCCGCATGTGGAACGACAAAGCGCTTTGCTGTCAAAAATAAATTGCAACAGAAGAGGGCCGAATGGCATGCATTTTTCACGCTCACAAATAACGTGTCTACCAATTGACAGGACACGGACACACAATTGAGGAAGTGCTAACATTCGAACAATATATCGTACGTACCACACGATGCAGCGTTATCCGAAAAGAATTTATTTGAGAAATATCTCAAATAACACAGTCACAGTCGGCGACAGTCACATCTTGACGATCGGACGGACTCCGAGATGACTTCGTTTTGGGGCACGTTTTGGGGAGAGCTTCCTTTTTTCACAACCGCACCAAGGCAAAGAAACAAACGTGACTGACCCGTTTCTTACCCCAACCCGGACAACTATTTTTGGAGATGACTGAGGATTCTACGCGGATAATCTCTGGAAGGGGGGAGAATAATGTTCGCAAAATCGCGTCGAGGGTCGTTCGACGTCCTTCACCTCCTTCGTTTCCCGTGAATGTCGAGCAGAAAAGCTTGAATGGCAGGCACTTACCAGCCTTATTTCTCACAATGGAAGATAACACAAGTAGGGTATGCAGCACGCATAAAAAAAAATTAAGTGGAAACTTTCAAGAGGGGCGAGAAAACGTCGAATGCAAAACCGCAAAAACGTAGGTATAGAACCGCGCTGAGAGGGTCTTCACAGTCCCAGAGAGTGGCAGAAAATTTCTAGCTGGTAGAGGGCGCGAGAGTCGCACCAGCCGCATCAGCATCAGCAACATGGCGGCGGCCTAGAAGCGCTTTTTGGAAAGGTGTATACCGGGTGTCCCAAGTAGCGGCCAGGCTCCTTAAACCGACCGCAAAATTCGTTTTCTTAACCTATCGCGCTGCGATTTTGTGCAGCATTGCCCTCAGATGGTGCATTTTTTTTTTGTAAAATTTGCAAAGAGCGAATTTATTTGAGGAAAAAATAAAGAAAGTAAAAGGCTTAGCTCTTATGAAAACGCAGCGAAGCCACCGGTCTTCAAACAATACGGCGCCGTTTCGCACGGGACACATAAGATGGCGCAAGCGGTCGCGACGCCAACTGCCGCCAACGAACAAGTATTCGGCGCCGATAGCTGGCGTCTTCAGTAGACGATCTTTTCGACTCAAAAGCGGAGCGTGCTTTATGGATACCAGTTGCCAAGGCATTATTTTATCATCCTTACCAATAAACACATTGAATGGACACATAATTGATTAAAAAATGGTTTGTCGGGTTATTTTTACTGTTTTTTCGTGGTACTCATGTCGTCTGCTTTGCAGTCCCTTGTTGTTACCGCGCCCGTTTTTGGTTCTGAGAACGTCGCCGCTTGCGAAATGCGCGCCGCTTTTGAGTCGAAAATATTGCCTCCTATTTGACGCCGGCTTTAGGCACCGTATGCTCGTTCGTTGGCGGCAGTTAGCGTCGTGACCGCTTTCGTCATCTCTCGCCTCCCGTCCGAAACGGCGCCGTATTGTTTGAAGACCGGTGGCTTCGCTGCGTTTTACATAGCAGCTAAGCCTTTTTCTTTCTTTAATTTTTCCTAAGGTAAGTTCGCTCCTTGCAAAATTTACAAAAACCAAACAAACAAAAAAAAAAAGCCATCTGTAGGGAACGCTAGCTGCACAAAATTGTAGCGCGATAGGTTAAGAAACTGAACTCCTCGGTCGATTTAAAGAGCCTGGCCGCTACTTAGGATACCCGGTACTTATCTAAACACGGATGTGGGGAGCAGAACAATCCTCCTTCTACTCACAACAAAAAAAACAAAGAAACTAAAGACGTTTACAATTTTCTGTTACGCCGAATTAGAGCCCAGCTCTTGAGGAGAAAGAAAGGAGGGTGCGGAAGGGAGAGTATGCCCCTCTTCCTTCCCTGCGAAATTTAGCGGGAAATATTTTCCGCTAAACTTAGCAGGAAATTTTTTCTTTCGTGTTGCCACACTTGACACCACGAGGGTAAATTTAGCACAAATTTATTTCCGCCAAATTTAGCGAAAAACTTTCCCTGTTCCGCGTAACGTCACGTGACGCGACACGTGGCATAATAGCCACGTTTTTCCTATAATTAAGTCGCGTTTGATGTCACGTGTGACGTCACGAGGGTAACCCTCGTGACCCTCGTGAAGGTAACCCTCGTAACCTTCGTAAGGGTAACCATCATGACTCTCGTTAAGGTAACGTTCGTAACCCTCGTGAAGGTAACCCTCGGTACCCTCACGAGGGTAACCTTCGTAATGTCACACGTGACATAACGTGTGACGTAATTATGGGGAAGTTCCATACTGCATCGCGCGGTTACGGCGACGGCGACGCCGGTCAAGCCGAAAATGGGTGCCTAAAGGCTGTTTCACATGCTGCGATTCTCGTGCAAAATCGCTGCGATTTCCAGTAAATGTGTGATTAAAATCTCAGTCGCACTGTCGCAGCGGCTCTGCGACAGGTTTCCACCAAGTTGGTATTTTCTCGCAGAGTCGGTACGATCGCTCTCTGGTCAACCAGCTGTTCATTAGCCATCTTTCATCCGCGATAGCTGTGTATTCGAAAATAAATTTAGACATCCAAAAGTTTTGGATTAATGCTTAATTATTAGATATTTCTAATTAAATATTGTATTTGTTAAACATATGTGTTGATTAAGACGTTTTTGTTGCATTTTTGGCAAAGTAAAACGCATCGTGTCCGTGTCCGAAAAGCCGGCCGCACTGACAGCAATCGCGCGGTTGTTGGAGCATGTGAAACCAAACATTGCGATCGCACCCGCCGCGTCGGCTGTCGCACCGATTTTTTTTTCGCACAGTTGCTGCATGCGAAACATGATTAAGAGATGCGCTCTAAAACCTAAAATGCCATCGTCGCAGGAACTCCTGCTGTCCAAGCGTCTACATTTCATTCTCCAAGTGGTCTACAATCTTCTCGCACAACCTGCGAAGCATGGGAAACATGGGCCTAAACCGACGACGATGAATCCCGGCTCTATATTTATCCTTCTACAAGACTTGGCATATTATAGCATCACTACCAGCTTCGCAGAGCGATTGTGTCTACGCCTTGGAAGATAGACACACATCCCAAACACTCCAGACACAAGAATGAAGAATGTACACGAAACTACAAAAGTGGCGAAAACATGCTCATTCGTCTCTGGGCAAGTACAGTTGGGGCAGATGTCCATCGCGGTAACGCCCCAAATGTTACAACCCGCCCCTGGTGGGCAACATTCGATACCCATACTTCCAGCCAGTGTCGGCAGCGTCGGCTGGTACGTCTGTGGTAAACATGCGATCCCAAATTACGTGGAAAATCTTTGTATGGTACCGGACAGACGCGTCAGCCGCACAAAGGGCTTCTCACATTCGCGACGCGGGACTCTCCCGAACGTATACAGTGGGACACTCTTCAGTCAACCGACGTTATATCGCAACGACAGAAACATAATAGGAAGAGGGAGTCTCCTCCGTAGTGGGAAAGGTTGCCAAGCCCCCTGGTCTCTTGCGACGTCACACGTATCGTCACACGTGACGTCACGAGGATAAATTTAGCGGAAATATTTTCCGCCAAATTTAGCGGTAAAATTTCCCCGCTAAATTTAGCAACAATATTGGCAATTTTAGATGCGTGTGCCGTCATGTGACGTAACACGTAACGTCATGCGACGTCACACGTAACGTCACGTGAGTCATACGTCAGGTGTTTCCTTTAATGATGTCACATGTTACGTTACGTGTGACGTCACGAAGGTCACGCTGGTAACCCTCATGACCCTCGTGAAAGTAACCCTCATGACCCTCCTGAGGGTAACCCTCGTGAGGGTAACCCTCGAACCCTTCGTGAATGTAACCCTCGTGACATTTGTGGCCCTCGTTACCCTCGTGAAAGTAAGTATCGTAACCCTTGTGAGGGAAACCCTTGCAACACTGACGAGGGTAACCCTCGTGCGCGTTGCACAATGGGAAACGTCCCATAGTGCAACGCGCGGTTACGCTGACGCCGACGCCGACGACGCCGCTCAAGCCGGAAACGGGCGCTTAAGAGCTGCGCTATAGAACGGACATCCGGACAGTAACTTTAACTTGATACGACGGTTAAGTTTTGCTTCACGCCATTTGATTTGTCCTGTTTGGACAGGCCTTTAGACTACGTCGAAATGCAGTAGCACTGCTTGTCCTCTATGAGGGCTTCCTTATATAACCCCAGCCAAACGTCGTTCTCTTGCCTCCGGCGTACTCATTGTGTTGCCGTTTCTGTTCAGAGTATGGGCAGGAGATTCAACTGTCGCGTCCCTACCGGCTGAGCGTAACACTGCACACGAGGAGCCAATACCATCATGTATAATTTGTCTATTTTTCATGCAACGTTTCGGAAATTAAAAACACATTTATATATAATCTTTTAAACAGGGCCACGAAGTGTATTTCTCCCTAAAAGTGAAAGTTGCGTACTTGTATTTAAGCAATGTGCGAAGGGAAAATCGAAATAAATTTTGTCTACACTGATATGTTACCAAGAACACGCAAACAAGGGAAGAAAAAGAGTATTTACCACACTGATAGGCCAGCACAAAGACCAGAAATACGCAAGCGAGGCGAGCCATATTCTCTCTATTTCTTTCTGGAGAGTAAAAGAATGACATGTACAGTCAGTATTGAAATCAATAGAAAAACAAATATTGCGTCATTAATTTACTATTTCCATTTAAGTATTGGTAGCATTGGTATAGGTAGTATTGTTTTGTGTGTGTGTGTGTGTGCGTGCGTGTTTATGCTTGAACATGTGCAAAAAATTGCAAAGTTACCACCGTTGGGCAGGCTGTTGCATCAGTGTTTTTAGTACAGTCGCTGCAAGTTAAACGGTTTGTGGTAAGCTCGACGGTGTCTTCGCGTTTTTCGTTCTTCTCTAATTTACAGCAATTGTTGTGATACTTAAACGAGACTATGGCGAATTTATGCCTTTGTATTGTGTTAAAGCCATCGGAAAACACTGTGCAATTATCACGGCCAATTTTATAATGGCCATGAAATATTTAATGTAAACTCTTGAATTTGGATGCTTTATTTCTTTCCGCCAGCGACGAAATTCCAGCTTTTTGGTCTAGATCCATAACTAACGTCCTTCCGCATATTTCCTAAATATGAATGTAACAGCTTTATTTTTAACCCTACCTAACTTCGTAGTGTCTGGTTTTGTAAAAGGGCGTAGCTTCCTGTCGCTCTGTCGCTCTTTTGAGCGTCACGTGGTGGACAATGTCACCGTACATGACGTTCCCATAATTCGGTGCGAGCTTTGCCCGCGCGCTTTTGGGAATTTTTTGCGAAAGGACCATTGACGATGGCTCCAAAAGTAAGAGGATACCGTTTCACGCTTTTAGTTTCGAACTTATAGTGCATGCGGCAGTCACAGGTATGCTTCTGATGCCAAATGCATGTTTGCGCTCCTAGGGCTGTCACTTTCATGGGATTTTTCATAACGATTAGAGAGCCCTAACAGGGATCTTCCGTAGTGAAAAATATAAATGGCCACCTAACACGCACTTGCCCGAAGCCTATATACATATAGAGCGTAGAATTTGAGATAATGACCACTCTTTCAGGCAGTCAAAAAGCAAGGGCCTCGCTTAAATTCAAGCCGGAAATTCACAAAAAGCATTACACATCCTCCACGACCATAATGAGTGAGATAAATTCGTCTAGAGAACACTCATCAGTGCACACAGATAAGTCTTACAAAATTTCAAAAAGGTAGTAGAATATTTTACCAATAAAATGTTACCTTTGAAGCTCAGGAGATGAGGCACGAGAGACTTCGGACTTAGATTATAGGCTTTGAGAATTTTACGAGGTTTTATATAGTGGTGACGATTTTAAACACACAAAAACTGAATTTTCTTTAAGGGTTCATTGTACTTTTAACAATGTAAACCTAGATAAAAAAAACAACAACATGCGTGCCTTGTTCTTGTAAGCGGAGGTCGGCCAACCCACAACTCTCATACAGTAATGTTTTTTTTAGGTTTATTTGCAGTATCTGAAAGGCGCAGATGTTGATGTAGTGTCCTGCCTTTAAATTGCACATATGCTCGACGGCAAGTAAGAAATAAGAATAAAAGAAGGACATTATACGCACATATAGCCTATTACAGGACCCTAAAAGATTGTTTGATAGAGCGGCATGACTACTAAAAATAGAAAACGTTATGATATACGGACACTTTCTTTGCAATTTGTGGAGAATACTTTAGAAAATGTTCATTAATAAATTAGCATTCAAAGAGCATTGACAAATAAGCTATTACTCAAGTATTGGGGAGGCACAATGGTTCATTATTATTTATGATTAGTGTTCGGTGTTCCGGTATAAACAGAATAATGTCGACAGAACGTATGGCAAGTGAAGTTTTCAAAGTCCGGTTTCAATCTGAAAGGGTTTATGTCTTAGGGCGGTACGTGCACACCCAGTGAGCCGTACAGCTCTGCTTCTGAACTCGCTTCACATTGTTGCTGGATTTTAACTCCTTGTATATGGGGGTTCCATGCTCCGCGTGTCAAAACCATCCTAAACACTGCCATTTTGTTACTTGGCTACTACTGCAGCACACTCAAAAAAGAAAGATCAAAGAAGAACAAGAAGGTATTGGGTTCAATGCATGCACTAGAGAGCTCGAAATATACCATAAAATACAAACTGTATCTGGTAGATTATTTAGTGTGACTTTACCTTTTTGTTGACTCGTTGATAACCACGCCCATGGGCGTTCATAGACATTTGAATTGAGGAAATAGTTTTATTTCACTGAGCTATTTGACCTCCCGATAAGCCCAAACATGGGCTCAGTGTAGGCCATTGACGTACTTTGTTTCCGACTTTCGGAGTACAGCGAACGACATGATATCATATCGTACTTAGGTTCTGGGGTTATCACGCGGGTTGGGCTGTCAAGTGGGTAACACAAATATGAAAATATCGCGAATCAGACACCAACGAGAAAAGGAAGGAAATGCTTATCTCTGCCTGTAAACGTTTTTGCTTGCCCCCTTCCAGCTTTTTTACTTGTTCTTATTATTTACCTAAATTTCATTAACAGCACACGGTCACTACAACACAGTCTCACCACATCTAGATTGCCTGTCCTAACTGATCTGCCTCGTAACCTTTTTTTTAATTTTATGTTTTTTTAGTAACCGTGAAATATATTATTTGTGTTGTATATCCGTTGCATGGGAGAGAACTTGGAGGTTATCTCAGCTGCTATTTTTGGCATAATTGCCACTGCTAAAAGCTTATCCCTCGACAAAGTATTCTTGTCTGTAACAGTTAAGTTTTGCTCATACAATAAAGTGTGATCAATCATAGACTTTATTATGAGAATGGAAAGTATCAGCTGCTAGGACGTTTCAATCTCTAAGATAATAGTTATGGCTGGATATGTGATGATATATATTTTTTAAAGAAATTGCATAGAACTAAACTAAGCTCCGTCAACCCATTTGGGCGTGTAAAAAATAGTTTTTGTAGTTATACGGGAAGCAAGTGTTCCAGATTGCCTCTTTGGCGCATGGGAACAAAAAGAGGGGCTCGGCAATCAAAGGGCAACTCAGATAACGCACAGTGACACAGTGACTGACGGTAGCACGCACCGAACTCACAAGCTATAGTAACAAAAAAATTAGTTGTCAGTTGTTTAGGTAGGAGTTTAGTCTGATTGACAGTGGCGACGTTGCACACAATGAAGATGCCCATCCAGAGTTCATCTCAGTTCATCTACACCGAAAAGGCGAACATATAGCCACACCGCACGCCCGAACAACTTACTCAAACGACTGAGTTGAAGAGGAAAAAGACAGTGAGGACCTGTCGAAAGACGATTAAAACAAAAAAGGACATCAAAAGAAAACAGGCAACATGCTGTTTTTAGAAATCGTACACACACAAAACAATTTCTTGAAACAGCGCCGGCTCTTGGCGACCGGCGTCCCGGCGACCGACGCCGCAGTATCGCGCTCGTCGCGGCTTCGCCTCTTGGGGCCTCCGGATTTCGCCACGGCGGAGCAAATACGCCGACAGCCGTCAAATTTTTGTTTCTGCTTTGATGTTTATGTTTGCTTTCTCCTTCTTTATGTCTGATTCACACGAAGGACTGATTTGCGGACGAATTGATCACGTGACGACAAGTCCGCAGTTCGTTCGTCTTTTAAGCACATCCACACGAGGACGACGAGCAGACGCCAGCGAGGACGGACCGAACCTGTACGCCGCTCCACAGTGGCACGAAATTCTGACATCGCACCGTGGCACCATCATCCAAGAGAGAAATTGACGCTTGCAACCGCGATAAAGAATCGTACGCCGCTGTTACGTACATATCGAGATAAAATACCGTGATAGGCGTGGCGCGAAGCGCCACTAGCTAGCTTTGCTAACCCAAGGCATGACAGCGACACACCCATGATCCTGCTCGATAAGGCTTCAGTGTAGAAGCGACGAAGTTCTGAGCTGGCGGAGAGGCTTTCGGAGATGCCTTCACGTCCAATCAACCTTTCACCGAGCAAGACCTTTCTTAAAGGGTAACTGCAAAGAAAAAAAAGTTTTTTTTTAAATAGCCTAACTGGGACAAGCATGTCAAAAAACAATTTTTCCGCGAGAAAAAACATTTTTTTACAGCAATATTTATTGCGTGAGACTCATTTTAGTTTGCGGCTATTTCGTCCGTTTTAAATCGCGCGCCACGAAGTTGTGATTATGTGACGTCAATCCCAAAAGGTTCTCATTGGCTAAGAGTTTGATTGACAGCTTAGATCTTGGTTGTTAAACCTTTGTTATATGTTGCAATTTCCTTTTGAGCGGCATATTTTTACGTTTAAAGAATAACCCATGTGATGAGAGTTATTATTCTTTACAAAAGGTTTACAAGACGGGCACTTCCGTTTGGATTCATACAAACCATACAAACAAAAGCTTCGCCATTCTTTCATGGCCGCCGAACTCACTGCTTCGCCTGTCTCGCCTACCTCGACTAATCGTTTCGCCGAAGTGATCAGTGTTTCGTCGTTTTGTGCTGACCCAGGTGCTTGAGTGAGACTTCTTGAAGTGAAGTAGTGTGTGTTTAGCAGCTGTTAGTGATAGGAAGCGACGCGGGGTTTTGGCTTTCATAGCGCAGCTCTTTCGTTTTCCTCTTTGCTTGCTTAGCGTGTTTTTTTTTGTGTTTTTTTTGTGTGTGTGTGTGTTTGTTTTGCTTGTTTGCGCGTGCAAATGCTGACTTTTCGGAGATGTCAGATGCGTGATCCCGACAGTGAGCCTTCCAGCAGCCATGTCGCCCCGAAAGGAATGCTATTTGGCTGGAGGCAATCGGGCGTTCGCGTAGCGACCAACGTGTCTAGTTACGTTCTCGTCATATCGCTCTGGAGGCCGTTGAGATTCGCCCCGTGTGCACCTAACGTCCGCGACTAGACAGAAAATAAAAAAGCACTATGTCCACTACGTAAAAATGGTCTCAGTTCATGCATCTGTAGGCAGGTACGAAATCGTGCCCAAATTTATTCACACCGCACGATGCAACACGTCGCTGTGCAAACGCAGTCCAACACGAAGCATAAAAAC